TTGGTCTTTGTCTTGCATTTGAAAACAGTAAAAATGTAGCTGCTGCTGACAGACGTGCAAAGACCTGCAGTTCCTCTAATGCCCACTTGAACCTGGATTCAAAAGTGAGTCAGTCTTCATAGACTCCCAGCAGAAATAAGCATGTTTACATCATATGGCAAACATCAGTTTTGGTCTTTAGCGAGTTTGATCTTTATAGGACCTGTATCCAGGATGATTTTTGTTTTTCTAAGTTCAATTCAGTTGAATTCAGGTGGCTGCTAGCTGAGCATGTTTGTGCTGTTGGTGCCTTTTGGAAGTATTTTTAATGCAACAATCTGACAAATAACACGACTGTGCATTTAATTGTTTTAAAAGATTGTCAAAAAAGTCTGTTCCAGATTTGGTGAAATTCTAGAATTTTCTACAACATTCTTGTCACATTTCTGAAGAGAGGACCCAAAAGCAGACAGAACTTGATCTTAACCAAATGCTGTTTATTAAGGGCTGATAGAAGATCAGACAATGATACAAAATAAAGGGCAATGAAGGCTTACACTAACCAACACTAGACTGGGAAAAACCACTGTGAATATGGGGGGAGGTGAACTGACGTTCTGCCAAAAGACAAAGAACAACTGACACAATATACACAGACAGGTGATTAGTATGGTAGAGACGGCTGGGAAACACAGCTGGAACAATTAGACACAGAGCAGGGGAAGCAAAACTAAACACAAGCATATGAGCCAAGGACTATCAAAATAAGACAGAAAACCCACTGAGACGCAGACTAAGACACACAACTGGATGTGGGAAGACAATAGGACACATGAAAGACTGACATGGCAGAGAAAGATGGAGAGAGCGAGGCATGAACAGAAGGAAAAACCAACATGACACATAGAGGGAATAAACAGATGACAGAGGACATAAATAAAGCACATGACTGACTCTCAGAGGAGACACAGGCATGAGACAAAGACACAAAAGGGACTTAAAAGACAAGAACAATGAATCTGAAATACAAATAAACTCAGAGAGACTAAAAGAACTAAACTCAAGACTAAACCGTACAAAGCTTGAACTTGAATCATCATCATCATACAGATAAACTCTAAACGCCGGGTCACCCAGGACCATGACGGCTCCAGGACAGATGGCAGTGGCAAAGCCATAGTTGAGGCTTCAGTCTGTTACTTTACAAATCAGTGGGTCCCTGTGGCTAATCCATGTGTTTGTATAACACTTATCTACTTGGCACCAACGTTATGTTATTTTTTAAGGGTTTGTTTGATTCCTCAAGCTCACAGATATTTATAAGCTGTTCTTCAGTGAGTCCTCTTGTTTAGAAGAGGAATGGTAAAGGTTAAATACATTAACTGCATCCTCAGGAGGGACTGCTGTAAACCACAGCTAAAGTTAAGAAGTGCTTGTTTTCCTCCTGCAGACTTGCATTAAAAGCTTTTGAGCTTGTTATGACGGATACTTTTGTTCTCAAGCGCGTCTGGCACAAAGGAACACCCGAAGTACTTCGTGTGATGACGTTAAAGTGTGTTAATGTACTTGGAGACGGCTTGTGGTCAGATCTAAGTGTTGAACGGTGTTTGCTGTAATGGTTATGGTTTTACCACCTCCCGCTCAGACTGTCTAACCACGCCAGAACACACAATCTGAGTTTGATGAGTTTATCGATCGTGCTGTAACACAGACAGACAGAAGTGAGTGGGAGGTGAGCACAAACTTCCACCGACACAAAACTCAGGACGAGTTGACGGAGCTCACCTGAATCCTGATGAACGTTTCAAGTTTTCATGAGGAGCTAGCTTATTGTAGCACAGATGTGGATAAATGTGTGCAGGTTAATCATGCAGCTCATTGGTTTTTGTGAGCTCAGTTCTCATGGTTACCTGACAAAAGTGATTTCAAAATGATTAACTAATGTTGTGCAGTATCAAAAATAATTAAATAAATAAATAAACATGACACAGAGGTGGTATATAAGAGACCGATGTAGATGTCGTTGCGCCACATGTTGATTTTTGGAATGTTCTGATTTTAAATGAACATATTTCATCTATTTTCAAGTGTAATTTAATCTTTATTTTTACAAGTAGTCCCACTGAAACCCAATGTCTCGTTTGCAAGAGAGAGCTGTTCCAGACAAACATTAAAATTACTATAATATGTCTAATGTAGTGAGATAGGAATCCAAATCCATGATCCAGTAAGAAGTTCTGTTGAACAGATATAGAAAACAAACCTGTGCACAGAATAGGCAGGAGGAAGTGTGTCCGAACAGAAGGAAGAAAGAACTAAACTGAGGTAGAAACAAACAGGGAACAGGTTAGAAACCAGGACAAACATGATGGTGAACAACAGACTCAAACAAAACAAAGGAGAAGACATTCTTTGGTTTCATCACTATGTGGCAACAGCCACAAACGTCTGAACTCATTCATAGGCTGGGCTTGGAATACCACACTTGTAA